AATTTACATACAACAAAAAAATCAAATAAAATGAAAGGTAGCAGAAGAAGAAGAAAATCTTATAATATTTGCCCCTTTTCCATTATTCTTTTTCTTCTTCTGTTTTCCAAGGTTTCCTCCTGACAGATATTTTATATTCACACATTAGTCACTGCGTCTTCCTCATTTATTTTCACCCACTATATTCACACTGACAATAACTTGCAAAATAATTCCACCCAGGCATTTTTTTTCCAGCTTGATATGAACACTGAGACTATTCCTCCTAAAAAAAAAAAATAAAGAAAAAACTCTGTCAAGACTTCATTTCTTATTCCTTTATAGTAATAAAACAGAGTCAGACTGATTGATGAAACTGACGACTTAAAAGCTGTTTTTCTGGAACTTTTTTCAGGATTTTTTCCCCCCAGAAACAAGGGTTCAAAAGGGTAACATTAGACAAATGCTGTCGTTTAGTGTGTGGCGGCTCTGTAAATGTAGGTGGGGAGCAGCAGAGCATTCATTTGGACGAGGGTTAGAGAGGAAATGTAAATGTGTGGCTCCATTTATGAGCGGCGGACACGCCTGTCTGTGCAGCTGAAGCTCCTCTAAATGAAAATGACTCGTCAAGTTAAAAATAGTGTGTTTAATCAAGAGGGACACATTCTGTGTTGGCCTTTGTCTTCGGGCTCATTGGGGCCCAACGACAGTCTGTCCAACCCGCCGACACAACTTTTAAAAACTCTGCTGGGTTAAGTGAAAGACTCCGAGGTCTTTCAAAGTTTGTCTTTGAACCTTTTAAGTTCAGTACCTGAACATTTTCAGAGGGAGCATTTTGTTTTTGTTGTAAAAACCAATTCTGACCTATAAATACTTCCAGCATAAATTTAAGGAGATGAACGAGCGTTGTGTCGACACATGACAACTATTTTTAGTTTGGGTCCCAAGGCATTTGGTTTCCAGCCGTTTGTCACAAAAACACAATTCATTCCCATTTTTTAGTTGAATCTTTAAAGAAACAACAAAGATGACACAATTTTACAGACTTAAATACCTTTTTAGCACCCACAARCTGATTTCCAAAATGCTTTGAGCTGAAAACTTGTCATACAAGAGATGATAACATTTGATGGATTTCTTTTTATTTCCTAAAAACATAAAATTCAAATACTGAACATCTAATGCTGTAAAACATAACCAATTTTCTGAAAAAGGGGGGCACAGATATCTAAAAAGTTAGCTTTGCTAATTCATAGTCTGCTAACAAAAACTGTAGCTTCACCAATACTAAACAGCTAAGAATTTATAAATTAGAAGAAGCTAACACTAACAGCTAATTGCTATTAAGATGACTGTCACTCTGTCTGCATCACATCTTTGTCCCTTTCCAGCTGAAGGCTGGTGGGACTGAAACAAACCTGTTGTTGTTAGCTTGTTAGTTAGTGGGCAAAACCTAATTTAGCCAAGCTAACTGGTTGCTAACGCTTTACAAAAGTTAGTGAAAAAGCTAATCCACTGTATAGAAAATTAGCTATTAGCTGTTAACTGTGGAACCATGCCCCCCATTGTTTTTTATGTACATTTATGCCGAGAAACCATGTGAATAAATTGAGACTTAAAGGGGACATATGTAAAATCCTTTTTTTTTTTTTTTGGCCGATAAATACATTTAGTTTTGTATTTGGAATCTCTAGGAGTGCAGAAAAGTTTAATTTAGTCTCAGTGATGCAAAGATATCTTTATATTCTTTTTGGGTCATATTTTTCAACTCGTTCGAGGGGCGGGGTGTGAAACACCTTGTTTGGATTTAAAGGAACAGCATCAAAACGAGTTAATCTGAGACCCACGTCAGAAGATGGGTGAAAGAGGGGCTGGTAAAATTAAAATAAGGAGGAATTCAGACCAAAGCATTGCAGTTCCACTTTATATAGACACCAAATGAATTAAATAAATGTGAAAAAAAGAATTTAAAAGCAGGATATGTCTCCTTAAAGACTAAACACGTTGACGGAATCAATATTGTTTTAATAAACATAAACTAATTTCAACATTCCTGATTTATTATGTCAGAATGTAAACACGAAGAAAGCCCTGTTTGTAGTAACAAAAATTAAGTCTAATGAGGTTTCTAAAACATTTTGAGGTAGATAAACAGAAAGTTAAGTTGGTTGTCTTCATTGTGAAATGTTCTTATGAATACAATTTATTTTAGTTTTAATTATCTGTCAAATTATGTGATCATATCCAGAGGGTTTATATCCATCACTATAGTTTGTCRAAGATATTTCATTCATATAAGTGAGAGAGTTCAGACCTTTAATTTATTTTTCCGTTTTATTGAAATACTGTAAACAGAAATTGCTAATGATGGAGTTATTTCAGCACACTGGTCAGTTGTGTAGTTCAGCTTACTTTCACTGCATTTTGTTTGTTTTTGTTTTGCAATGAGGCCCTTATTTGTGTGATGCAGAGTTATGTGTGACAGTGTTGGTGGGAGAAAGGCCCAAACACAGACCTGACTCTTAATGGCATAAAAAACAGAACAAGATCCAAGCTGTAGCAAAAAAGAAAACTTTAGGTGAGCATGAACAGAAAACTGCTCAGACAACAGCACTCATGTGGAGAAAACAACACTGAGAGAAAAGTGGGGACAGCCCAAAGAAAACAAAAACACTTTACACAGACCASAGCCAAACCCACAGCTCTGACCCAGTTAGAGGGTTGTGTTTGTGAGCTSCAATTAAGTTGCAGAATTCGGGTCAGAAATGAGACGGACTAAAAATACATGAAACCTGATGTCATTGATCTGTTTTGTTCACGTTGTGAACKCTGTTATTGTTTGTATTTGAAAAACAAAATTGTCCTCTGAGATGAAACAAGGTGGATCGATGAGTTTCCAGTGTGTCTCAGAAAAACTGAATCCACCTGCAGACTGGGTCCCTTTACTTTTTGGTCATTTGATTTTCATTTTTAAACAGATATTTAAAAAAAATGGATGGTGGTTTTATTTTCATTTATACTCCAAAAATGGAAAATATGGTCCCTCTTTTTATTTTTGTCACACCGAAAGTTTAACACTGCTGTTGTCACGACAACTCAACACTGTCCTCTGGAACCTGATGCGGGTTCTGGTTCCTCACCATGGAGCATTATGTGTTAAAGGGTCCCTGTTGTAACATTAGACTTTATTTGATAAACATATATTTTAAATGTACAATAAAGACTGTAAAAATACTGTAGGCTGTTTAGTTTTGTAAATTTTAAAAAATATATTTTAACACAGACGGAGCCATTTTATTTACACGCAAAGCATTCTGGGTAAATGATGACGTGGATAGGTCCTCGGTGTGAGCGAGCTATATCCACCCTGAAGGTTAATCTTGGACAATATCTGATGATYGACTCTTTTAAATGAAACCAGAGAGCGTTGACAGAGAGGAGAAGGTAGAAATGACTCAGCCTGTAACTGAAAATATGGATGGAGGACAACAGAGCTGCTTCATGGAAGAAGAACCTCAGCTTAGCCTGTTAGCCTTCGCGCCAGTGCTGACGTATTGCCTTATATGTATTAGCTCGGAACTAGCGCGACAAACAAGCTAAACTGAGGTCCTCCATCCATATTTTCAGTTGCTGCTTAGTCATTTACCTTCTCCTCTTTGACCTTCAGGGTGGATATAGCTCGCTAGCAGCCTCGCATCAAGGAGCCTATCCACGTCATCATTTACCCAGAATGCTTTCTGTGTAAATAAAATGGCCCCGTCCGTATAATACTGTATATTTTAAAACTTTTAGTTTAAAAATGATAAAAACCGAACATCCTACAGTATTTTTACAGTTTTTTATTTTACAGTTAAAATATATGTTTATCAAATAAAGTCTAATGTTAATGTTAATCATGGATCCTTTTAAAACACCAGGAGCTCCAGGAAACAGTTTGAATCATCAGTTATGTACAAATTATTACACCTGTTAAAATGTCAAGCTAGTTAGTTAGACAAAACCTGGTTGTCCTCAAAACATTTTGGTTGTCCAAAAAATATCTCAATAAAAAATATAATTTATTAAGTAGGCTATATTGTTCTGTATACAAAGTGCTTTGATATATTTATTTAAAAAAATTATAGCAAGGAAGTTCTCTGCACAGAAAAAAATTATTTATATTTACAGGTTTTTTTTAACCAAACTGACAAGTTTCTCCAGTAAAATTATTGTGTAGGTTAATTTAAAGGCATTGAAACACCTGGTTAAATTTAAAAGATGTTGTGATTAACTAGAAGCACCTGAAGCTGACTCAGAGAACTCTGTGATTTTAGAAAAAATAAGTCAAACGTAGACACGTCTTTAAAAGATCCCCCTCCTCCTCATTATGCACGTAAACGTCTGAAGGGGTTGACATGTGGACTCTGAAGTCCCGGGCTGGTCGGAGCTGCGCTGCAGGTGGACAGGTGCAGCTGCTGCAAGACGCTGCCCCTCGCTTTAAAAACAGTCAGGTGATCTGTCGCCGTTTTGTTGTACTCGTGAACACTGTTACAGGAGAAATGCTGCGAAGTGCTTTTAGAAATTTAATTTATACAAAATACGACGTAATCCTTGGTRGAAAATAGTCCAGGAAAAGCTGAGGGCTTTCCCGGGAAGAGTTCACCTGAGCTGAGTGAATCTGACCCCCCACCCACAGAGAGAGGTATAAAAGGCAGTAATTATTGATAAGGTAACCATGCTGTGGCTTCACCTGTCGCATTTTATTTTAAAGAAAGAATAAGTAGCTTCAAAGCTGTCGCATTGGTGCTACGTGGTTAAAAAACCGAGTTTTCATCGTGCGTCTAATCACACACACACACACACACACACACACACACACACACACACACACACACA